AGATTTTTGATAACCTAAGCAGAGAAAACAAGAAGAAATATCATTGAAATTTATATCATCATTTTCTTCTAAATAAAAACTTGTGCACTTACTTCTTCAGCATTTAGCTCATAGGCATTAAATACTTGAAACAATGCAATGGTAGTTGTAACTTCATCCATCATACTTCGTTTATGCATTAATTGTTGTGTATCTTCTGCAAGACTTATCTTATCATCTTGTTCAAGTCCAAAATGACTATCAAGAAATGTACTAATTAAACTTTTAATTAAAATTCGATCAGCAGAGAACAATGTAATACAGATTGGATCGTATTCTGAAATCTATATTAAAAAAAAAATTAAATTAAAAAAGTTCAAGTATTTCATATAGATTTTATAAACTCTCTTACCGATTTAACATCTGCAATGTATTCTAAACCATCTGCAAACATACAGAGACAAGAGGAAACAATTTCATCATATTCTATATCAAATATACGTTCATAGTTTCGTAGACAATTTGCTATAGCACGAATAAAACTAGAAAGAAAAAATCGTGTAAATAAATAAAAGAACTAATATTGAGATTTATAATACCATTTAAAAAGATAAGTTTTAATTTGTTCTTCACTTTCTGATTTCTGATGATGTCGACTCAATTCTTTAAACATTCGATCAAGTGAATTATTAAGTTCATTATTTGTTCTATTTTGAAGTAAAAGTTTTTTTAAAAAATCTGTCCATATTCCATGAGTTTTTACTTTTGAAGATTGTAGACAGTTAAGAAGAAGTATTTGTTGATCGGCATCAATATTTTTTGGTGAATAATTTTGTTTAGTTAAAAGATGATGCCAATTCTCTTTTGTATAACTTGAATCATCTGTAGTTAATTTTGGTATAGATCTAAATTAAAAGTAAAATATATTTTAAAATATTCTAAAATTCTATTTTACATACTGTCGTGCATTATTTCTGAGCGTAAGACGACAATCAATTGTTGTTGGAATTTCAGAACCATCTGTGGATGTTTGTGAACATTTTTTCTTTAATGAATTACTTTTTGAATTTCGACATTTATCATCAATATTAATTAGATCAAATGATCTACTGTTAATAATGACATGAAATAAAAGTTTTGTTGAATTTGTACTAAGTAGACGAACAACATCTCTTAACATTTGAATTCTTAATTGTCGATTATATGTAGAAGGTTCATCTTGACATGTAGACGGTTCATCAATCGTAAATGTATATTGAGCAGTTGTTGGATCAAGAGTTGAACAAAAACTATCACCATCTAAACTGTATTCACTCTTGTATGAACTAAGTAACATTGGTTTTATCGAATATTGTTGATGATTTGATGATCTATAACCATTATAAAAATCATCTAATCGAATAATTTCTCGATCATCATCTTTTGTTGAGATATTCAATATTATATCGTCTAATAAAATATGTTTAAATACATCATAATTGTATTTCAATGATATGTATATTTTTTCTCGAATTTGACTAATAGAATCGCAATCAAGTGCAAATATTTTAAATTTAATGTTATTCTCATATTCTAAATTTAGTAAAATTCGTTTATAATCAATTTTCATTTCGTACAACGATGTTTCAGGCGTAATTGAATAATATGCCTTTTTTAGAAGACGATCTCTCGGTCCTTTCAATAGACAGATACGAAACTGAAATACGAAACAATAGACTAACTCCAATATATCATTGTTTGTTCGATGATCAATGTCTAATAAAGTAAAGAAAACAAAAACAAAACCATATGAACTTCTGTGAATTATATAACGGGTACGGAATAAAGAATAATCCTCTTAATATTTTCTATTTTTGTCGTGTTTCTTTAGGACGCTTAGGTTAGCGTTTTTTTTAAAAGGTGTGTCGCGAAATACTCTACAAAACCATACTTAAACTTTAATTTCAGAACTTCAATCAAGAAAACTATACGAAAGACGAAAAAAATGATTAAGTTTCAAAATTTGGTATTCTTCTCGACTTGATAGCAAGAACGGAAAGCATGATTGGAGTTTCGATTTTCCAGTTAGGTAGAGAAGAGCAATCATTTCTGATCAAAACAAAGCAAACCCAACAGAAAAAGCATTTATTTTGATGAAGTTATGGGACTTTTATTAAAAGCACCACTATATCCAGAATTTAAAAAGTTAATGAAAAAATGTTTCACAACCGACAGAAAAAATATTATATTTCCATGCGGGTTTTTATGTGGAAAAATTTGAAGTGTAGCTACAAGATAGAGCGAAGTCAGGGTTACATAATGGCTGATTCAGGCTTTCTTACTTTCAAAATGTTAACACAATAAATCGTTCTGACGTTAGAAAGTTTTCATTTTTTCCATCTTTTGTATAATCTACATAATTTTCTTGATTGCAGTTCTGAAACTAAAGTTTAAGTATGGTTTTGTAGAGTATTTCGCGACACACCTTTTAAAAAATACGCTAACCTAAGGACCTTAAAGAAACACGGGAAAAACAGAAAGTACTAAGAGGGTCATTCTTTATGCCGCATCCGTTATTTGATGATGAAGATAGTTCATAATTTCAATAAGTAGAAATCACTTACCTAAGTTTAATTGCAAAATGTGATATAAGAGATATTTAACAATGAGTTCATTTGCAAATAATTTTTGATGATCATTACGTTTTTTTCGTGATAAGCGATAAAAATGAATGATATATCGATGTTCAACTTGTTCAAATGAATTTGTTGCTGATAGCAAATAAATAATCGGTGATGCCAATGTTGCATAATTTTGATCTATTGACGAAAAGAATGCCATAAGAAATGTTCTATTCACAAGTAATTTTAAGAATAGTTGCATGGCACTTTGAACATCAAACATTGTTAATAAATTTTTATCCAAATCAAATTTATTTTTATTCGATAAAAAAAATTTAATTACTTCGTCCTGATTTCGATATCTCGTTGAAAGAACTTGATTGCTAACAGAATAAACTGAATTTTGTTTTTTTATTGATTGTGTCCACGCTTTAGAAACGGATGATGAATTTCGTATGCTGATATGAAATTTTAACTTTTTTTTGCTAGGTTTTAGCTTAAAGCATGATGATGATTGTTGAATTCTTGCACGTGGTTTTGGATAGACTTGAAAATTTGAAGGTTGAGCAGTAGATCTTCGTCTAGGATAACGAATAACACAAATAACAATAATTATAATCATTACAAACACGAACGAACTTAATGTGATAAATAATAAATGTAACCAATTAAATCTACGTTTTGTTTCATAACGTAAATAGCCCAGAGTATTTTCAAATGAATCGATTTTAATTTTAATTAAAAATTTATTTCTATTGTTTACTTTACATCGGTACAATGATCTTAATAATGTACGAGTTAGATGATACGAAACGGTTAATATTTTATTATCTAATGACTGATTAACAGACGCTGGTATCAAATAATGACAATCAATCGATAATATAATGTCATTGGGGGACAGTTTCAAGTGTGTTTCAATGTTTAGAAAATATTCAAAATCACCTTTTACATTAAGTATTGATGGATACATTGATTTAATAACCGGATTAGGAACATAAATCAGTTTGAAGCGTGTAGGATATAAGATGGTATCAAGATAAATTTGAATTGGTATCGTATAATTAATAAGTATATCATCCGCCTCTAGAGGCGGAGTGCGAAATTGAAAACACTGAAGACTATGTACTGAAGTCGTTGTTATCTGATCGCGTGCTTTACAAGCAATTTCCTCGACAAGAACTGTCATATTAATTGAATTATCAATGATAAAATTTATAGAAAACGATTTCATAACTGTTAGATAATATCCTTGGATTGAGATGAGATGTCCACCGCTTATGAAACTATGAAGAGGTTCAATGATTGTAATAATTGGTTCTGGTAATATCATTACTAATTCATGCTTGTAGATTGTGATAGAATCAAACTGAACACTAATACTGTACGTCCTATTCACTTCGAATTGATCAAGATTTTCTATTATACATGATATAAACGACGAATTAATGTAGATGATATCACATATTTGTTCGTCCATTCGAACCTATGTTAATCCGTTAATGCATCTGTCAACTATAGTAGTCACAGTTTCACAAGCAACTGACTATCCACAGAGTGATCATGTTTATATCAAAAGAAAAGACTAGCCAAATAGCTGAGATATGACACAGCCAGCGATCGCTCGTACCTCTGGAGAAAAAGAATGATTTTTGTTCAGCAGAATTACCTCAAGAAAGACCGGATTTACCTTATACTTTTCTTACCTATCGCATGTACCTAAGAAAAATGCTGAATCCGCCACTGAATTTTAAATAAACAATCTGCTCACTGTGAATTTGAAAAAAGTAAAAGTCCGTGAGTTTTTCTACTTTTCTCTGAATCACATACAGAAGTTCATTCCACCATTCAGTACACTGAATGACCTTATAAGGTCCGTAATTAGAGAGATAGAAAAACCAGAGACTTTTCTTTTTTCAAACTTTTAGCGCTGTGGTCAATGAAAGGAAAGATCAATTAAACATATAACCAATTACGTGATAGACAAGTGACAGAGAAATGTCGGTCAGTTCGTGGAACAGTTGGTGAAACATTTTCATGTTATTCGAATGGCATATGAGGTATAAAACCTAGTACCGATGCTACTTATTCTAAATACCCTTTAATGCGTAAGTTTAGTGACACGACTCTTCCCCAATTTTTCATAATACAAATTTAGGTATTTCTGGCAGCATGTGGTGAGCGTTGGGGAGCGATGAGGGCAGTGTAAGAGCGAATTCGAAAAACAGTTTTACATAAAAAACATTTGCATGATATAGTGTGAATTTGTTGCAGCTTTTCAGCTACTTATCTGGTATGTCAGTATCTCAAGGTGAAGCTATTTTAAAATGTTTTTAACAGGTGCGTTCAGTAATACCCGTATTGTTAGTTTTCCAAAGTGTAGTTTTCTTAACATCTATTTACAAAAAGTCGCATAAGACTCGCGCTCCTCTTCGCAGAAGAGTCATTCGAGGAATAGTCGGTGAATCTATAACATTGTTCAGTATGCGTTCCTTCACAAAATGAGATAGTGTATGTGTAATGCGAAAACAAGAGTTTTACTCGATCAATTCTAATTCCGATTCAAATTCGCGTTTTTAAAAAAGATTTCTGACTTTAAAGTAAAACTGGTCGCAAAGAACGGAGAATAGCCCAATATGAATGTCAAGAGAAATGATCGGGTATCGTCTCGTATGCGTCGCTTTTTACATTCCAACACGTTTAACTTCCACAACGTGCTTTAAGGAGCTCGTAGAGAAATCTGCATGCTTCTTATCATTTCATCCACGCTCATCCGCTATGTTCCTTTACTCTTTTCTATAAGTTTACTAAACCTGACAAAAAAACGATATACAGGAATAGCGAGAATTTTCCACACTTCAAAATGATCTATAAACAATCTTTCCAAAGATACGTTCATCAGAGATCGAATCGGGTCTTAGGTGGATGACCTGAATCCAAATCAATATTTTCTATGTGGACCCGGATCCGACTCGACCTGAAGACTTTTTTACCCGATCCGACCCGAAGTGGTACGAAATTTTCGACACTTGGCCCAAGTGATCCGGAAATTTTCTTAGGTAACCTAATAAATTTTTCTGGAAAAAGAGTAGAAGCCTTCAGCTTTTGTAGTAGTCTAGAACGTTTCTCTGATTTTTTGTCCAAGTGGTAGTACATTCGAATTGTGATAACCCGAAACAGGAAATCTTTCTCGATCGTATGTTGTCATGAAGTTTAATCATCATGATGCGACACATATTTAAGGCGTTCGTTTTTGTGGATTTACGTATGTTTCCTTTTTTCTTTCTTTGCTTCAACAGTGCGATACTGTGCAATGTATGGTGTACAGTACGCAGCGTCAAAATAGGAAGGGAGAAACACTGTAACCCCCTGCCCCCCATAATAGAAGATCATCCCCTATTAGAAGACCACTGCCGATTATATGACTTGAAAGCCGATTATATAATAGAAGACCACTGGTCTCCTATTATGTTCACGAAAAAAATCGGAAAATACCCTATACCGCGAACCTGTACGGGAATTCTCAAAAAGTTTCGCCAAAACGTACTTCTAACAGGGGACGAACTTCAAGTACATGAGGTTACCGTTGGACTACCAGCAGGCGACAAAATTTGACCGCAATAGAAGACCATCCTTTAAAACTCGACTTGCGAGACAAAATAGAAGACCAGTTAGTCTTCTATTATTCTATTCTATCTTCGCTATTCTATTCTATGTTGGGGGAGCCCGCTCAACCCTTTTCATGCTCAGTTATTCAAAAAACTCTCGAAAAACCTTCTGTTTGAAATAGATAGATCTCAGCATAGTATTATGAGACGAAACGTTTCTCACCTGTCGAAATTCTGCAGCATTTAGACGACTTCCACTTATGTTCAATCGGAGATGTTTTGTAGCGGCTGATATCGATGTTGGCTGGATAGAATAGATTTTTGGATGCGATACAACTCGACGTGTCTAGAAGAGTAACAAGTGAGCTGGACTTTTACTATGTAATTAATTCACTTTTCTTACCGTTGTTGTTTTACACGGTACTACAGATCCATTAACAGTTAAAACATCGCAAGGTTTATCATTCATTAAAATAGCTAGTGATTCAGAATTGAGATTTTTGACGGTAATTTCTAATGTGGCCGTACGTCCAAGAGGCATTTCGGCTGGAAAAACAGATGTAATTTTTGTTGGATGTTCTCTGACTGTAATTGGAACACGATACACCTGGAAAATATACTGAAAAACGTAGAACGGAAAGCATAATATTTTCAAACTTACCTTATTTCTCGAAGAAACAATCAATGATTTCGAATTTTCTTCATATTCTATATCACGTCCAATGGAATTCATTGAGATCACTTCATGTGAGAAAATATTGAAGGTCATATTTTTATTGATTCTAGCCTGAAATAAATAGAAAAAATTGAAGAAATGTTTTTCAACTTTTCTAATAACTCACCATTGTAAGTGAACCATTCGTCCATCCAACAGCAAGACCAATGTTTCCATCAGTTAATAAAAAACTTTTGATTCCTGTACCAATTGCATTTGTATTTGTATTTTCATACAAAACGATACCTTCGGCGCCTCGCCTTCCGCCTATTGGAAATGAATATCTGTCATCGACTATACAAAAGTTCGAAGTTGAATCATACATCTAAAATTAAATAAAGACATATCAAAGGTTAGAGTCTGTGTGTTTAACGTACCTCTAACTTTTGATTTCCACATGGTTCGTCTGGCTTGAGAAATTTCAAGCCTCGATTTAACGTATCATTTTCGTAGCAATCTTTCAAGTTTTGATTAAACACAGTATCTATTTCGCTCAATTTAAATAAACAAATGGCTAAATTATTTTCAACATGTGTTCCATATGAATTTAATTTACCAAATAAACCTAATATCAAGCGCTCATGTCCTGTATAATTTGAAAATGTTACATCAATAATTGTTGCATCAATCAAAATATTGTATGATACATCATCGTTCTGACAGAGCAATGGTATTTCAATATAATTACTTAAAATATTGATATTAGTTGAAAGTGAACAAAATCGACTAATCTTACTAGTTATGTAATTATCGTTTACATCATTCTTTTGTACGGTTAAAAAGTATATATATGTTCCATCAGTATTTGTTAGTCCTTTTATATAGTTGACAATGAACGTTTGAGTATAATGATATAGGAAATGAATACTTGCTTCACCACTAGTTTGTTGATTGTCATTATTTCGAATAATTTCCATAAACTTTTCACGTTCAAGATATCGTACCGCTATGGCCGGTACAGAACTTGACGATGGTGTAAATGTACGAGCAACATACAATACAGAAATATTTTCTTGAATTTTTCCAAAAACAGCTATGGTAGTGTTCACGTTATCATCTGGCACGACCGACAGTGATTTTGAATTGAGTAATTTTAAATCGTTAGTTGAACGTTGCTCACATGTACCAAAAGTATCCGAATAGCAAACAATTAATTCCGATCGTTCATTATCAATCAGAAACAATTTTATAGTATTTTTAACATTGCTTCTATTTATTGTCAAAACATCTCTTGACTTAGATAGAGAAATAGAAGAAAGAGATAATGAATTACCGACATATAATTTATTTTCATACAACAATAAATGATGTATATCGTAATCAAATGAATAATATTCATATTTGTACAATTTAGTATAAACAACTGTAATACATATGAACACTTGAACAAAAGAATACTCATTTACCGACATTTATCAAATAAATATGCAATACATTGAATTTTATTCTAAAAACTATGATATTAACTATCTGACATATGATTCTTACTTTTTCGATTTGCCAATAGAGATATTTAGGATGTAAATGTTTGTTATGAATTACTATTTTAAGCAAATTAAATCTGTTGTGACACTTTGTGTGTAAGCGAGAGATTATAATCTTCAATAACTAATGCACTCGTTCGTTTAATAACTAACACTCTCTCTCTCTCTTTGAACTAATAGTCATCATCTCTGTTTAATCACATCTAGACCATGATTGAATGGATATATTTTTTTTCCTGTTTAAGATGAACGACACAATAGCTCTTTTGACAATCATCTTGACGAAAATCTATTACAAAACATCGTTTAACGTAATAAAATGAGCAAAAAAGAAAATAGATAAGAATGAAAAAACAACAACAAATCGTCATCGACTCGAGGTCGTTTGTCTATTTATTCATCTACTAAAAATGTTATCGTCTCGATAAATTTGTATACATTAATTGAAACACGTAGACGGAAATTAATACGATAAAAAAAAACTAACTTTTCAAATATTTTCCCTAGAAACCTTTAACATTCGAATACTAAACACAAAATTTGACTGTTATCATACACATATCTAACGCAAAAACATTTCGATCCGTATTATTTTCATGATGAACTTGAGTGATTAGGATTCCAGTGCCGTCTTCATTTTCAGAAACACACACTCATGGTTTTTTCTTTTGGTTTATTTTTTATGTTTTGTATAGTGGAACCGTTCATCAGCGTTCAAAAATTCAGTCAATGTGTGAGTTTGAAAAATGACCTTTGACGGACAGAAAAGGAAAAAACATGTGCCGAAGGATTATTAAGCAAACTCTGTTAACAAATCACTGTTTCAGTTTATTAATCTTTAATATATGACTAGTTTCACAACATTATTATTTTAGTTAAAAAAAATGTGTTCTTTTCCTCTTCAACAGACCATATTTTTCTCCGAGAAATGTATGAGTATTGAAAAATCAAATTATAATTAATTTAATTTATTTCCGATTTATAGAAACGACGAAAGAGCTAGGTTTAATCTAATCTATTGATTTAGAGAGCGCTTTTTCTCTTGTCATTTTGAGTCGATAAACTTATGATAGGAAGAATAATAACGGAACAAAATTTTTTTTCTTATTCCAATAATGAAGTGATCCGTTGACAAGACAGTAACATTAGTACTATATTGATATATTTATTTTTATCTACGCAGTTTTTACAGTAACAACTGTCACTATATCTGTTATTTAGTAGAAAAAATGATTTTTACTAATCATATGCGAAATCAAAATGAAAAAATAATCTGTAAAAAGTGAATTTTTACACTTTGTCTCTAGAATGTAAAATAATATGCTTTGGAAGCGACTAAAGTATGTTGCAGCAATCTAAATACGAACACATTTCATGTTCTTAGATTATGCATTCCTCAGCTTATTCTTTAACTTGAACTCTACAGTGTTTAACTGGAAAAGAAGATCAGATTGAAACATAAACACCAGGTGCCGGAGGCTAAAACGCGTTATTGATGATATGAAACTAAAGTGAAGCTTCTGTAAAACGGGCATCTTGCCTGGTCATCGGACTTATGCTTTATGATATAACTCAAGGAGCTGTTCAAAATGAGTATGGGTTCTGTAACAACACGTAAAAAGAAGCCTATTATATTTTTACCGTATAATTTACATTCAATTTTACTTTTGTTATCAGAGAAAAACCTCGTTTACTTTACACTATTCTGGTGCTTATCAGAATTATCTCGATTCAAAAGTAATTGGGCAAATATCAAGCATTATTTCTGCATGCTCTCGATATGCTACACAGTAAACGTTTTTTCCAGTTGGAAAGAGCATAGTCTAACCTTCGAAGAAAATAGAAAATAAGACCTGTGATCAACATTGAGGGAGAAAAAATTTATATACCAAACATCCTGAATAAAGCTTTTGTAAACTGTATTTTTTCTTTTATTCCACTACAACCTGACAAAAAAGCTTTCTTGAAAACTAAATAGGTGAGAATGTGGTCCGTGCATGGTAAGAAAACTGTTCAGGTCAAATTTTACGCAGAACGGGTGGCGTGATCTCGCTGTCCCGTCCGCGATCGCTATGGACTTGAGTTATCACATCGCGATCACGCTAGGCTCTTATTTTGCTCAGAAAATATTAGCCATGAGTCGCGATAAGCGTTTTTTGCACGACACAATTGTAGAGGTACCCTAGAGTTCTCAACGTGATTCGGGACCCATGATTCTAACGCGATAAAACTCCTACAGCCGCATCGCGAATTGTGATAAAAACTGCAGTCGTGACAGGATTCATAGCTCGCAACTCATTCACCCTTTTGTTTAGCAGTTGAACTTTATATAAAAGAACAAACGAAACAACACAAACAGCCTCTTTGTAATACCCGTTTTAGACTCTCCATACTGCACAGTTATCGAATGCATATTAATTCTTGAGACGTAGATAGTGCATTTCAGTTGCAACCTCCTGAAAAATTTGAAAAATTTTCTAAATCGAAGCTAAGATATATGGGAACAACGTAAAAGAGCCTAATTTCCTGAACATGAGTTTGATGCCAAAGGACTGTAAATCTGTAGGTGAAGACTATCTGCATCCAAAAAAATGCACATGTGCTTGCATGTGCCCGCCGGTTTCATCAAGTTCGTTAATCTATAACGATATAAAAACAGACCAAACATGAAAAATTCGAAATTTTGAGTTTTTACTCTTAAAGGGCTTCCAGAAAACTTCGTGAAAACCCACTAAAATATATTTTTTGTCGAGTAAAAATAAGTACATCTGAAATAACCGTACTGGGAGCGATTTATTCATGCACTTTCCCAAAATCGATATTTTGGACGAAAACCATCGTTTTGGACTCGGCGACTGGTCTTAAAGCCCCCTCCCCCCGTCAGAAACCGATCTCTGAAACTATAAGTTCGAGCTTGATCAAACTCTTAGGAGATATTAACCTTGTGAAAGCGTGGTGTTTTATTGTTTGACTGCATCACACATGGTTTGTGAGATATCGCCACAACAGTGATCAAAATGGGGTTGTTCGTAGTTGCACGATTTCTCCGTAACGAAAGGTTGTGTAGAGCTCGGGCTTGTCTTAAATGCACGAAAATACATGCGGCTAAAGGCTAATAGAGCCGGATTTTTGATATTTTACTTTTCAAATTAATGGTGAGCATCGAAAGTCCGAAATTCGAAAAAGTAGAATGTTATCCTGTATCAAAAAAATAAAACAAGATCAGAAACAATGTACTTTCGGACGGTAAAAAGTTATCGGGAAAAGGTCAAATAACCGATCAGTAAGCCATCGAATTCAAAATATATTTTACTAAAGCCGCTCGTGGGAACAAAAACTATTTACATGCTATGTACAAAGCTTTATGGGCTACGTTCAAACATAGGTATTCGACAGATTCATATCCTATGCAGAGTGGTGTAATATCAAATGGTGCAAATATCCGCAAGCAATTGAAAATGACGAAGTCTATGATCATTCGACATCGTCAGTTCCTAAGCCCTGTATCGACACCATGCGACCGGCATTTAATTAATTGTGCAGTAGGGAGAGTCTAAACGGGTATTAGAAAGAGGTTTTCAAAACGAAATGAATCATTACATTTTGTTTTATGGTCTAAAGTTCCTAAACACCGTTATTGTACGTCTACAGTATTGAGTTTCGCTGTCGGTTGGTCCACTACCATCTATAACGATGACTGTTTCGTATTAGCGAAATTATTTCGAACACTTTGGTGACGCTGATTACTATACCAATATATGTTTTAGTCGATTGATAAGGAGCCAGAATATTACTCTTGTAAAATATTAATAATATAATCACAATGAAAAGTGCTTTGAATGCATACATAAGTTCACATTAATACAACAAGTATTTGAGGTGGAACGTATCAATTGAAAGTGGAAACCAAAACTAATCGTTGATTTTCTGTGTCGCATTTTCTATTACTTTTCTTGTTTTTATATATCTTAACCGAGATCATTAGGAAGTTATACTCGTTAGATTGGTAAAGTATATTTTTGCGCTCGGGACTACGCCAGCCGTCAAAGGCATTTTAATTCATGCTACCGAGCTACATAGTACCCCGTCGAGAGGAGATAGAACAGTTTAATTAGTCGGGATGCATGCATGTGAGTCATGTTATCTAACTCATGAATCTGCTTCTGCTACCAACGTCCAATAATAATGAGGGGATACTCAGGTTTTGTGAAAATGGAATTTCAATTGGTTCTATTAAGGTCATATTACATTAGCTAATCGTCTTCGATTTGTTAGGTTACTTCACTTGAAACAAAGATTGATTAATGTAAATCTTTTTAAAGAACCGGAAAAGAAATCGGAACATGATTTGAGAAACCAAATTTTATCCACTCGCATGTTCATAGCCGAGTTATCGTTTTCATTCTTGATTTCGCTAATCTCCCAACCAGTTCTTCGAGTGTTCAGAAATATGCTTTCGATGGGCCTTCGCCGAGGGCTCGAGCCCTCGGAAAATGGCACTTCGGACCCTCGGTATAAGCTTTTAAGCTGGTCGCACCCTCGAGAGAGCGAGGGCTCGGAAGTCCCGAACGTCTCTGTTCGACGGCTCGAAATTTTTTTCGAGGATTCGCTACCTGTCTGAAATCCGAGGGCTCGAAATCGATACCCCACGAAAGCTTATATCGAGGGTCCGAAGTACCATTTCCCGAGGGGTCGAGCCCTCTGCGAGAGCCTATTTTCGAGTACTCGCCGCACCCCTCGAACGACTTTTTTCATCTGCATGAGCTTTGCCGGTTCAGTAAGCGTTACACAAACTATTACCGTGAAATATCCAACGTCCGATCTATACATACAATTACACAAAAAATATTCAAATACTGTCGTCTGTCCATGCCACTTCAAGTGTTAAATAACCACACTCGCATTAATTACAAATACAACACAAGGAA